ATGATAGATGATAGATAGATAGATAGATAGATAGATAGATCTAGATATCTTATTGATTCTGTTTCTTTAGAGACTCTGAATGATATAACTTGTATGTCCTGGCAATATCTTTTTATAGCTATTAAATATGAACAACTTGGCTGAGTAAAAAAAATTCCTGAGCCACAATTTTCAATGCCTGTGAACTTCCAAACTTTGCCTTCCTGGCATTTGTTCTTTTGTGGGTAATATATTTAGGCCTGGAGGCTAATAGGATTTTTTTTTCTCTAAGAGTTAAGAGGTTTTTTTCAAGAAGCCTTTAATTTGGGGTATTTTTCATTCATAATCCTTAGAACTCAAGTGATTATTTTCAATCTGCAATACTTGGATCTATCTTTGGTAAAGAAAATTGTTTTCCTTTAATGTATTTTCTTGATTCTAAGGTGATGTCAATTGAAAAGGTACATCACTTTTTAGTTTTGGGGGGAACATGGCAGGCAAATTGTAAGATACAAGATACATCTTAATTTCAGAATGTTTGAAATGGGGGAAACTTATAACTGAGGAAATGTGAAGCATTTATTTTAGCTCCATTTGTTTTGATCTTTCCTTTAGGATTCCCCAAGTTTGGGTTTGCCATTCTCCATCCTCTGTTTCTATTTATTCTCTTTTGCTATTTTCACCTCATTGTTGTTTTTCTGTATTCTCAGATTTGCACAGTATATCATTTATTCATGTTCCTATATCATCAGGTAAGCTTTTTACTACCTTCACATTTGATTCTATGTTCAGCATTTGTAGAATTATTTAAAAGATTTAAATCCTTTCCAATCTTGTATATTTCCACTGTTCTCATTCAGGTGTCTTTGCATAATTGTGTATAATCTCTTCATGATTTTTGTCCCCTGATACTCAGAACCCCTGTCGTTATGCATGCTTCCAAGAATACCACAGTTTCCAGAAGTTTCTTCAGGACACTGCCAGAGATCATTTTCAGAACTATTCTTGTCTTCTGCCTCTTCTGGGTATGCTGCTCCCCTTTCTTAGTTCTACTACACTTTACTGGAGGTTGTATATTTCCTGTTGTCCTGGCTGGCTTGATTCCACCTTTATTCACAGGCAGTCTGCATGTTTTTCTAACTACTCATTCCCTTGATAGCTAAGTCTCCTGTCAGAATCACAGCCAGGGGCAAGATTGACACGTTGGGTTCCTGGTCAAATTCCCCATTCCCAGTAGCCTTTCCTCCCACACGCCTCCCTCTTCCACAGCTGCTCACCCTCCTCCTTCCATCATTTGGTCTTTGGACCTTTAAAGCAATAGCCTACATGCAACCCACATGCCTTAGAATGTGCTGCTGTCTAAGTACTTCCTCAATTTGTTAGCCGGGCTCCTACCAATGGTCTCAAAGTGATTCCCCACAAAGTCAAAAATGGCCCCAACTGTTGGCAGCTAGCAGCTAACAGCTAGGCTGAAGCAAAGTGTTCCCACATGAACATAAACAACTTTCACAGAACATAAACAAAAATCAGACAAGGCCATTCTGAGACCATGCCTGAAACAAGGCAGAGAAAAGGCCACAATCACAAAAATAAACATTTTTCTTTTCTTTTCGTGCTGATAGGAGTCACGGCTGCTTCTTTACCAATGACAGCTCTCCAGCATTGCTTCTATCCTCCCACCTACTAGATAAAATTACCAAGATACCCAATCATCAAATTCCTGGCACTTTTTGACAGTCCTGGCCCCAGGACTGCTCTCCACTTCCTGACATAACCCAATCCAATCCTGACTCCGGACTTCCTTCAACCTTCCTAAGAAGCACTCAGTACAAATCCTAAATCTATAATAAAGACATCTTACCAAGACATCCCATGGGCCCTATTGTGTGCTCTCTCCCTTGCTGCAACAGCTAAACAAACCTAACTGTTTGGCCACAAGTATGTTCCTGGTGGTCATTGGCTGGTGAGTTTCAACATCCTGAAAGACAAGTTACTTATTCAGCTATTATAAGTAACTGATGTGCAATTTCAATTATTTTTATGCACCAATAAAGGCTAATTACCAGTAATCAACCTTCTAGTAATTTGGTCTGTTACTAGAGTGTTCTGAGGATTCAAATTTGTGTTTTTTTCTCTGAAACGTGGCTCACACACTGATGATGGCAGAGTTCTGCCCTTGTGTGTGTCAGAGCCGGTCTTTGCTGTCTGTGCATCATCAGTATTGGGAGTGACTAAGAGCTCCATGGCTCTGCTTTGGAGTCAGCATGGCTTCCTGTTGGCTGGATGCCTCAGCTCTCCTTTGCTTCCTCCATCCTCCAGTAAGCTAGCCAGGCTTGTTCTCACTTCCTCTTTATTCTATTGGCCAGAGCAAGTCACAAGACTAGCTCAGTATTCAGAATGGGCGGAGATTACAAAGTATAGGTCAAGGGCCATGGATACAGAATGGTTATTAATTAAAGCCATTAATGCTATTGTTTGACCTCTAAGTGTCTTGTCTGTAAACTAGAGAAAACTAATACCTACCTCATAGAGTTTTGTCATGAATTAATATAGGTAAGAGATGAGTTAATATATGCAATGTTGTGACTAGTGCCTGGCACCCAGTGGACACTCTATAAATGTTTGCTTATCATCATTGTCTTGAGTTGGTTATAGTTTGCTATTAAGGGACATCTCGCTTTGTACTTATACATGTTCTTTGGTTTTATTTATCTCTTTTTATAGTTGCTTGGTTAACTCTATAGTAGATAATGATGCATATTTTCATCAATAATGTTTTTTGGCTGACCATTTTCCACAATCAGAGCTTAAGATATATATGCATTTGGATTCATACAAAATCCTCCATTTTCTTATTGCTAAAACAGGTGTATGTGTAATTTCCCTTGAATTTTCTTGCTCGGTGTCACATTATTAGATGTGCTTCCATTGAACTTGTATGATATGAATAACTTCCAACAAAATCTCAAGGTATGTGTAATAAAATTATTGGGTTATTTTTAAGTGCCTAGAGCATAGTTTTATAGTGTAAAATCTGATATAAGTTTAAACTGCAACTTTGGGGGTTTTTTCCTCTCTGAGGCTTGGTGGAGTTCTCTCCACTGGCAAGTGGGATTGGGGGGGAGGCATTGGCCAAGAGGTCGGTGAAAGATGCCCCTTCAAATTGTACAGTGCACAACCTGTGTAACTGTACACAATAGCACTGGTACTGTTACTCAGGATAAGTGAGCTTTGGTCAAAAAAGCTGAAGAACCACCCATTAAGAGCAACCTATAATGTAATGCTCACAGTGCTGCCTTACTGAAGAGTTCCTTTTACTGGTTTGTCTTTGATGTCTTTCATAGAAGCAAATGCTGCTAACACAGACGTTTCAGTGTAAGCCAGCAACCATACAGAGATCAAAACACCTTTTAGAGTTTGCCTCTCAGTGTGACTTGCTTGCATTTCGCAGAGTTTGGTTGGCCCCAGCCAGCTTTCTTATATGCACCTCCGGTGACACTCACCACAGCCGGCAGGGTCATTGACAGACACACCAGACTCTGAATGGCATGGACACGTCCTGATACTGCAACTCAGACCCAGCTTCTAACCCCAGGCCTGCACAGTGCCCTCTGCACTGTATCCTCCCTTTTTTAAAAACTGAGAAAAAAAAAAAAAGGAAAACAAGGGAGATCAACAGCAGCCAGTTTCTAAAGAGTAAACCGCTGGTTGGGGGCTGGTGGGAGGCAAATATGAAACCTCCCCAAACAAGTCACTTAGAGTTACTATTTGGGAAGAAGAAAAGCCTTTTAAATTGGTTTTCAAATAGAGAGCTTTTCTTCATCCTTATGTAACTGCAAAAATGACTGGACACTTTGGACTGTACATTTTTTCAATCTTTCCCAAATGAAATCACCTTTGGTAGAGAACCAAGCATGGAAAATTTCAGCTCAAATAAATGACTCTGTAAAATCATGGAGCAATTTAGAAAAAGTGTTGGAAAGAATACGTGCGTGTAGCCAGAGGTAGTACCACTGATGGTCTGACGTGGTTGGGGAATGAAGTGTTTTGAACAAATACATTTCCATATAATGAAGCATAATCTATTATTGTTTTGCATGGAAATCCATAGATGTTTTTGTTAACTGTTTAAAATATTGCAGTGTAATTATATTTAGGAAGAACAGTTAAATAAATTTGGGGAGCACAATTTCAGGTTTAATATCTTTGTCATACAAGTGGAAAAGAAATATGGGTGGTAGAATTCCAGAAACTTGGAATGTTTTTTAAAAGTCTTTCAGTATATATGATAGAAACGTCTAGGTCTACACTATACTTTCTAAAATAACTAGTTGATTTTTTTAAAATCAAGTTTCTTCTCAAAAATAATTAGAAAATGCTGATAAAAAGTGTAAAATAAAAACCACCTATGACCAGCTACCAGTGATAACCAGTGCTATTTGTTTTATCCTTAGCATCTGTGTGTTCAAATGTAACTTTAGTTATTCTTACAAAAATGGGATTATACTCTATAATTGTTTCATAACTCTTTTCACTTATAATATGAGCATGATGTAAGACTTTAACATTGCTTCCCAATAAACCCAGGTCCTAAAACTATGTACTTTTCCTCACAACTGTGGATGTCACCTTTTATCTTCTTTGATGAGCTCAACTGGTCATTTTATTTTGCTACATTGATCTCTCTGTCTACCGTTCCACCAGGAGCAAAGTACTTAAATTACTGAATTTTTATGTTACCTCAATTTTTTTAGAATAAGTGAAATCTTCATAACTCTTATTGTTTGTTTGTTTTTTCTTGGCTATTCTTTCCTAATATTTTTCTAAAGGACTTTTAGATCGTTTTATTGAAATCTAAAGAAATGTTTTTGGTTGGAGAGATGTTAACATTATACATTAATTTGGGGATAACTGGCATCCTTACATTATCCTCCCCTCTCAGAACATTGTATATCCCTTCATTTATTAAATTCTTCTTTTATATCCCTTGGTAAAGTCTTATATGTAGATGCTGCCTGTTTGAGGTATTTTGCTCTGGGGTATTTAGCATTTTGCTTCTTTTTAAAATAGCATGTTTTTATTATATATTCCCTTGATTGTTAAGTGATATATGGACACATTTTTAGAAGAATATAGGAGTACTTAGTTCCCTCACCCATCCCTGAGTCTCAATCCCTGGGGGCAAAAATCTTTATTTGCAGTTTTTATGGTGCTAAACTCTAAAAATCAAAATAATATGCTTTTTATATTATTGATATATTAGCTTTGAACTGTGTTTATTAATTGACACTGCCATCTTCATACCCTTATTTCTTTTATGCACACAATATTTGATAAACATATTACTTGTAGTTTATGGACCATTTAAATTTCCTCTTCTGTGAAATGCCTATTATTATTTGTTGCTCCTTCACTCCCACCTTTCTTAGTGAGTTGTATGTTACATTCTTATTGATTGTGGAAATTCTTTATATATTCTAGGTGCTAATACTAATCCTTTGTAGCTTATATGAGTTACAGAGATCTTAGCTCTGGGCAGTTTTTTCACCCTACTGTATCTTTTAATGGAAAGAAGCTCTTGATTTTAATATAGATGAATTCATCTATCTTTTCAATTAGTGCTTGTGCTTTTTTGTGATTTTTATTTAAGAAATTCTTCTCTACTCCCAGATCATAATTTTTTTTCCTTAAATTGTTTATAAAAGTTGTATAGTTTACCTTTCACATGTACAGTTTTATTCTACTTGGAACTGCCTTTTGTGTATGATGTGAGGGTAGAAATCCAATTTTATTTTTTCCACATGGAAAAACAATGGAGTATTTTAGGAATTCAAACTTTCCCCATTAGTCTCCAGTGGTCACTGTGTTGTGAATGAGATTCCATATTACTGTGGGTCTGCTTCTCAGTTCTCTATTCTGATATTTTGGTTGATACCTCTATCTCCAAACCAACATCACCCCACCTTTAGTACAGAAATAAATCTTGATACCTAGTATAGCAGCCCTCCCTACCTTCTTCAGGAGAATATAAGCTGTTTTTTACCCCTTCTTTTTGCATATAAATTTTAGAATCATCTTATCAAATTCCATGAATTAAAATTGCATCAAATCTACAGAAGAATTTGTGGAAAATTTTTGTCTTCATGACATTGTCTTGCCATCCATAAACATGACATACGCTCCATTTATTTAGGTTAATATATTAATATCTTTCAATAAAGTTTTACACTTTCTCCACTTTTGCACATCATTTGTTAGATCTATTCCTACATGTTGTTGCATTCATAAATGCCATCTTTAGTATATTGACTTTATATCCAGATACTCTTTTTGTATTATTGACAAATACTCTCATTATTTCTAATAGTCTGTTACCTGAAGATCTTTTTCTGTTAACTTTTTCAACATAATGTTATACACGTTTTGTTTTTTTTCTGTTCCAATTGTTATACTTTCAATTTATTTTTTTTTTAGTTACTTCACTGACTTTGAGTACAATATTGACTAGGAGGAAAAAAAACATGACATTCTTGTTTTGCCGTTTTACAGATGCTTTTTTATCAGGTTAAAGTAATTTCTTCTCTTCTTAGTTTGCTTAGAGCTTTTAATAATGAATACATTTGTAGTTTTATCAAATGCCTTTCCTGCATCTATTGAGATGATCGCATGGTCTTTATCCTTTGATTTGTCAAGGGATTTTCTAATGTTAAATCTTGTATTCTTGGGATAAAACCAACTTGGTCATAATGTTTCCCTGAATTTGGCTTGATCATTTTTTGTTTAAGATTTTGCAAATAAATTAATGGATTAGATTTGTCAGTAATTTTTCTATTTTTGCTTGGTTTTGGTATGAACGTTATACTTGCATCATAAAGTTAATTGGGGAGTGTTCCTTATTTTTCTATTATCTGAAAGAATTTGCATAACATTGGAATTATCTATTACTTAAATGCTTGATAAAATTTGACTTTAAAACCATCCGAGTTTAGTATATCCTTGAAG